ACGATCCCTCCAACTCCTGATTTCTTTAAATTCCCCAAAATCTGATCAAATCCCGGCCCTCCTGGACTTTAATCCTCCTGTTTATGCTCGATGAGATCTATGATTTTACGGTTTTCAGCTCACCTGCTGTCCTGAGTCAGAGCCTAAACGTTGCATCTCATCACCCTTCAGGAGATGAACTGAAGCGTCATCTGCCTGGTTAGTGGTGTTTCCTCGCAGAGCCAGTCTGAAACGTCTGGAAGGATTTTTATAAACATCCACAACCATGTTTATTGTAGCACACTCAAAATCTGTGTGCAATTTAGGTTTTTACACTTCAGTGAGATTTTTCAGTCAGTTCTCAGAGATAATTCTGGTTTTTAGATGCTGCCTGCATCTCACTGTTAATCATAAGGTGACTTTTGGCTTTAGTGTCTTTTTAAACCGAATGTGACAAAATAACGGCCCAGTTTCACAGACCTACAAAGTCTGTTAGAACCTGAGCGGTCCGAGTCATTAGGGAATTGGTTGCGCTTCTTTCAGTCTCTTTCACTCACGGATTAGGTTGATTAAAGATCATGGATTGGGTTAAAACACAACGCTTAGCAACATAACAGTGACACGGCGCACACCGGCCTCTCGCTCAGTAAAGCTGTAGGTTAGTCAGTCACACTGATTTTGACACATGTGGGATAACGGCATTTACTAGGGTGACCATATTTTGATTTCCAAAAAAGAGGGCGCTTTGATTGTTCCCTTAATCCCTTAATTGTTTCCTTTTGAGCACTGTTGAAACTTTACAGTTCATCTGTTACTTTTTCTTCCAAAGTCCTGAACACACTCTCTCATCACGATGAAAAGGCAGATGTTGCACTGTGTTTAGGCTGAGAAACATTGTGCCAAGGCTTTTTCAAATGATGACAAAAACCTTTCTCAGTTTCTCTCCACGTTTTCAAACAGCGTTCAGCCCCAACTCAATGTGGCACAGCTTCAAACTGTGGATCATCAGCTCTCTGTCAGATTTTAAGGAATCCTGGCCGGAGACTCGTCCGACACAAGCATCCATTATGTGAAACTCAAGCTAAGCTGCAGAACAATCTTAATGTCGTTCATCCTGCGGAAATTTCACCCTGCTTGTCTTTCAGAACGAAGCTTTGGCAGAGAGGTGACATTTAAAGGGCCAGTTCACCCAAATCTGATTGTCATTAAGACGTTTTAACGGTTTTAGTCCTCTCAGAAAGAAAGTTGTTACAGTAAGTAAACCAGAGGTGAGTGAACTGGAACTAGAATAGAACTAAATATTAAACCAGTAATAGTAACCAGTTCTTCTGTTAACAGCTTCTTAAGTTAGTGCAGAGCCAGAACAGTGTTGTCGTCCACCGTCTGCTACATAAAACTATAAAAGAAATCTGCACTGAGGCTCATGCTGTCATGAGTTTTGGTTATCCTTCATTTGCTGTTTTTTATTATGAAAGTATCTTTTCACGTCACCCCTGATTAAATGTCTTGTCTTTAACTTTGTTATTTGATGTAGGGCTGCCACAAACGA